GGGGTCTTACTGGTATGCCACAACCAACCCATCTCTCTACACAGTTGGAGCTGCCATTGCCGCAAATTCCCAACACAATAATAAATGAAAACCCCTGGACACCAGCTACTTGCGAACATTCCCCAAAAAGCCATGAATAACACACATGCTAAATAAACAGCTGACTACCCACTGCGTAACAGTTAATACATCACATCTGTTTGCATCACCCTGAAGACCACTTAATGTTGAAAGGCAGAAAACAAGTTACATTAAAAACAAGGGGCCCTTTAAAAGAAAAATGTTTAAAAGTAAACAAGCTAACCACTGCACAAGATGACTATTAAGCGCGTACAAAGTTTACTTCTTCCTGTGTTATTGATGCTCTCTCAGAAATTACTATCAACTCCACAATAGCTTTAGAGTATCTTAATTGTTTCCACTTGTGTTAGCTAAGAAGGCAAACTTACCAGGAAAGTCAGTACATTTGTAAGACACTACTCCCTGGGTGGGTGGCAAAGTTTTCCTAGAACTGCAGAGCGTGACACAACCGTGCTTTGGTGCTGCCATCTTTCAGCCAGAGTTTAACTGGCTGATATCACACGTGAAGATGTGAACAGCAGCCTTTAACTTGCACGCCAAACGCGGCCCGATTCCTCATGTTCTCTGTGTTGCTTACCATACAAAAACGCTAACTAAAGACAGACAGCAAGCTTTTATCTGGGGAGGAAAGCAACATAGCTTCCCAAAACCGTACACTGATGGCTGAAGGAAAGCTTTGGCTGGAATAGTCCCTTCTTGCCAGTCCAGGCTGGTTAGGCCTCTGAACCGAGCATCTCTCCGGAGCTGGCAGTGCAGTTTTCCAAACCGCAGCCGGTATAGCAGAACACACGATGCAGCAGTCCCATGCGCTCATGGAAGAGATGACCTGCTCACCAGGGAACAAATTCGGTGTTTGGTAGACATCAAATGCTCAGTACCTGTGCCACAGACCAGGTGCACAGATGACATAAACTGGACAAGACCGTACCACACGTGAAGCATTTGCCTGACACCTAACGTATCTCAGAGCAGATCCTGCAGAGCTCCTGCGAGGATGAGTCTACCTCTGACTGCCCAGCAATCCACCCATCCCCACACCCACACAATTAGCAAGGCTGACTCTGAGTCAGACACCAGAAGCCCAAGGCTTCACCAGGACACAATGGGCTCTACACAGCATGGCTTCTCTTAAAAGGTTTTTGGGGGATTTGACAGTCGAAGGAAGCCACATAAAGCTACAAAGAAATATCAGACCCAAATAAACACCTGAGCTCTGATGACCAGCCTATCCCTCTGTCCACTGCTTCTGACACTTTCTTAACACATGCCCATGGGCAGATGTCTCTCCTCATATACAATACTCCAATCTCCATTTTTGTTCAACCCAATCTGCAGCTGCAAATCCTAATAAATTACAAAAAAAGTCTTTTTCTGTCTTTCAAACACCTCAGTTGTAGCTGTGCAGTATAAGAACCTGTACCCCCTTTAGGGGAAGAGCTGATCAACAGTTTTTCAACGTGGAAAAAGAAAAGTTCAGGAGACCGTATTCTGCCAGGCCTTGGCATAAACGACACCGAGCGCTGCTCCGGACGAAGACTCGGGTACCTCTTGACACGCCCCCTCTGCAGGCAGTTCCCATCCACAAAAGCCATTCCTCTGCGCTATCTAGGATAAACAGAAGTGACAAAAAAAAAAAAACAAAAACCCTCCGAGCCTTCCTTAGGTAACATCTCCCTTCAACTTACTGACTCATTTGCAATTTTCTGTTCCACTTTTTGCCTAGCTTATATTATACACAGTCAACAAAGCAAGACAGAAACCCAACATTACTTAGTTTCTCTTTTTAGCTTCATGACGTCTATCCGCCACGATGAACTTTCTAGAACATGCTAGGCTGTCTGCCTCCCCCGCATCCCATGCAGTACTTTCTCCAAGAGAAGAGCATCCCTCTAGAACCTCAGTGCCTGCATTGGTTTCCTCTTTCCTTCTGACCCTGCAGCTAACGCCATCCCCTCTGAGGATGAGAAACCATCCCTTTTTTTCCTTAACGTTAACACCATCCAAGTGTCTGCAGAAACACGTCCTCCATCTACTCACAGATACACAAGAGCGATACCAACAGACTGGTGCTCTCAGAAGGTGCCTCATAACTCCTCTATGCTGTTCCTACAAGGTAGACAAACCTTAAAGCCACATCTTCTTTTACAAAAGCGGCAATTAGGATTAAACTCTGCCTTTTTGAACACTGATCGCTCCTAAAAGAAAGAGAGAGAACAGGTCTCTGCCCGATCAGATGGATGACTGAGCTACTTTCAGTTTCTAC